CCCGGCTGGGCAGGGGGGCCCTGGCAGCTCCGGTTTCAGGCTGCGGGCAGGCAGTGTTGCAGTGGGGCTTCTGCAAGGGGACTGGAAAGAAACTCAATTCCTGCTCTGTTTTTTTCCCCCCCACTTTGTTAAATGAGTACTTGCTTTCAGGGGCTGCGGGGAGGAGGCCCCCAAGGAGAGCCAGCACCAAAGCACGGAGCAGTGTCGCTCCCCCTGCCCGTGTGTGTGCTGGGGGACACGTGGGGGACCGTTCCCAGTCTTGGGGTGTGCCTGTGAAACGGGGGGTTTCGTGGTGCATCGCAGCTCTCCGCAGCTGTGTGCGGGTGGGCCTCCGTGCCCAGTCTCATCCAGGCCCAGTGGAGGCTCCGCGTGTCTGACCATTGTTCCTGCTGGAGAATTAGGGCTGTGGGTTGCCCCAGAGGCCCCGGCACCCTGCCGCAGCTGCCCGTGCCCCACTGCGCAATCCGGGGACAAGCCGGGCATCCCTTCCAGGGCTGGTTTTCAATGGCAGCGGCAGAGCGCCAGGTTTCGGCGGCGTTTCTCAGCAGCACAGCAGAGCCTGGGCAAGGAGGAGCGAGGAGCAGGGGGAGGGAAGGGGGAGAGGAGACGGAGCTGGAAGCTGTTAACAGATTTGCTTTTTATGGAGTGCGGGAGTTCATTAGTGGACACAGTCCAGATGGCTGCAATAAGCTGGTGAAATGTGATCCTCCTCTGGGAGAGGGAGCACTAGCCAGGATGAGAGAGGGAAGGGGGGGTTGGTATTCCCGGGCATTCCCCAGACATACCCCTCATTCCTCACCCTCTCCTGCCTGCCTCCTCAGCACCAGGGAAGCGCAGGTCACAGGGACCAACCTTTGTCTGCTTTAGGTAGGCTGGTGACAGTTGGAGCTGGCCTCTGTCCTGGCCCATGCGTGGGGCTGATGGCCCTTCAGGGGACAGATTCTAGCCCTGCAGCAAAGTCGAGCTCCTCAGGAGCAAGCTTTCACTCCATGGTGAGCAGAAGGGCGTTCAGCTACCGCCTGCCTCGGGGCTTGGCTGTGTGCTCTACTGGACCCAGCTGAAGCCACCTTTTCAGTGGGGAATGGGGGTACCTTTGGGTACCAAGGCAGCATTTAGGCTTTGCTCAGCTCTCTGATGTCTTTTGCCTCCCCTATGCAGGGAGACACCCCCAAGCACCGGGCTGAGAAAGCCAACGACCCTGACTTAGCTGCCTACCTCGAGAACCGACAGCACTACCAGATGATCCAGAGGGAGGACCAGGAGACAGCTGTGTAGTGCTTGGCGTGCCTTAGCTCAAGCCAGCTCAGGCAGGACGAGAAGAGGACAATGCCAACTGGCAGAGCTGTGAGTCTGGCACAGCCCTCCCTAGATGTCAACCTGGTCCCCAGAGGAGATGGAGACAGCAAAGCTCTGCCCCAGCCCAGGCCGGGACTTTGTTTATGAGGACAGTGGGTATTTGGGACTTGAAGACTGGCTCTTTGTGTGTATCCCCCTTCACCCCTCATCCACCACATTCCCAGCCCTGGATGGGCTTTGTCTCGCAGCCCTCTTGGGGTGGGCCAGGCTGAAGCCCCCAGTCACCCTTGTGCATGGGAGTGATGCCAGTGCCCTGTCTGTAGACCCCTACCTATGATCCTTCTCTGGGATATCATCACATGCCCCTTCTCCCTGGTAGCCCACCTTTAGATGCTTGTCTAGATTCATGTCCTGTTCCTCCTCTCCTGTCTGGCACAGCCGCAGGAGGCACAGGCCGTGCGGGCAGAGAGCAGAGGCCATGAGCCTCAGACTTTACCCTAAGGCAAGCACCCTGACTTACTGTCCCTGCCTCTTCCTCCCTCCTGTCAGTTTGTGTTGCCCTTCCTGGACCTTCTGTGGCAGGAGGAAAATCCCTGGCACACCCAGCCTTTCCTCAAAGCATCTGGGAAGCAGGGCAGCCGCTCTCCTGATTGCCCTTAGTGGTCATCAGTCTGGCCCAGGGCAGGGATGGCCTGGACGACAAGCCCTCCCACCAGTGCCCTCCACAGGGCTGGGTGGTGCAGTCTGCCCACGCGGTGTCTGCTGGACATCTCTCGGTGAGCCTGCTGCAGCACAGAGCCGTAGTGGAGAGCTGCACTTGGCCTGGGCAGTTGCTGTGGTGGAGTCTGTTGTATTTCCCAGATGCTGACTTGGATCTGGCTGCCCTCCCTGCTTCAGCTCTCCCCCGCGGTGCTAGATGCTGCACTGGGCTGGAGGGGCAGTGCTGGGGTAAGTGCTGCTCTCAGGGATCCCCCCCATGCTCCCCAACCTGTCAACATGCATCCTCTGAGTCCGACTCCTGCCATCTCCAAACTGGGTGCAGGGCTTTGCAGGGAAAACTGGGGAGCTTGCCCAGCCGAGACATAAGCTCCGTGGGCAGGCCACCAGCTCACCCTCTCCAGTTTTAGGAGAAGGAGGGATTTGCATGCATAGGAAGCATCAAGTCTCCCAGCCCCAAGTCACACCTGCAATGGGATGGCATTTCACCTACCACCTGCCGTGGAGCATGGGGCACCACAGCGCACCTCCTCTGTGGATACTGTGGGTGCTGAGCATCCACAGAGGCATCGAGCCTGCCTTTCAGTAAGGCTTTTGCAGAACTGACAGTCTCTGGGACCAGGAGGTGCCAGTGCAGGAGGAGAGCCGATGGCTCTGGACCTTGCAGACCTGCTTGGCACCTTGGGGTGGGCACTGGTTGTGAACTGGGTTGTTGCTCGCAGCTTGGGTCCACCTGCGCTCACACTCAGCTGCACCCACTGGGTAGTAACAGGTGGCACTGCTTGAGTCCCTCCTAATACCACTACCGAAAAAAAGAGTATGAAGATACTGCAGAGAACCAGAATACCCTTCATACGTTTTGGTTGGAGGGCAGAGTTCCCCTGGAGATCAGGAGATGGTGTGGTGGGGAGCAGAGGCACAGAGCAGTGCAGAGTGCCAGGGGCCAGCAGCAGTACCGCAATTAGTAGTGGTAACATCCCAGTGCGTTCAGAGCTGGGGTGCTTCAGCAGTGCCTGGAATTCCCATCAGTGCTGCTCATAGGCCACCGACAGACAAGGCACTGTTATCCTCTCAGACATCCAAATTGCTGAACCCCCAACACCAACCAGGACACCCAGCCCGGCCCAGAGGCAGGCTTCCAGAGCTTCCCCCTTCCTTCCCAGTTTTATATCTTCCCATATAGTTTTTGTACAGGTAGTTGAGAGACACACTGTTGTTCCCCCCGCCTGGCCCCTCCGTGCGCACGTGCGCTGAGTTGCTGTGCAATTCCAAGCCTGGCTTGTATTTCGGTGAAGGAGGAGGGGGTGTTGGTCGCCCTGCCTGTGGAGGGTGGGCGTTCTGTGCAATACCTGGGTCTGTGTTTCTTAGATGCTGTCGTAGGACTGTATTTTTGTAACTCTGTGAGCGTGCCGGCTCCAGCAGGCCCAGGGCCTGGCACGAGCCTGCGTTCCCGTCGCTTTTCCACTTGGACTGTTTGGATGTTGTTGTTTCTTGCCATTGAAATAAAGAGATGGATGTTTTCGTTCCCGTCTCCTGCTGCATCCGCAAGAATGCGGCGGGCACTGCACTAGTGACACCCCATGCAATGCAAGCAAGGTTGTACCCCAAAGCCTCTTCCCCCATCCCAACTGGGGTTACTCTTGGGACTCCCCTGCTGGGCCAGGTCCTTCCCCACTTCCCTGCACAGCATCTCTTTGGGACAGTTGCTGGGTAGAGGGTCTTTTTCCTGAAGGACCTTCCCCCCCCATGAATGCGGCGGGCACTGCACTAGTGACACCCCATGCAATGCAAGCAAGGTTGTACCCCAAAGCCTCTTCCCCCATCCCAACTGGGGTTACTCTTGGGACTCCCCTGCTGGGCCAGGTCCTTCCCCACTTCCCTGCACAGCATCTCTTTGGGACAGTTGCTGGGTAGAGGGTCTTTTTCCTGAAGGACCTTCCCCCCCCATTCTGTGTCATCGATATTCAGTGGAACAGGGAGAAAGCACGCTCTCATCCCAAGTGATCCAGAAGGGCTTGGAAATGTGAGTGCGGAGCTGCCAGACTGCTGTTCCTGCCCTGCCCAGGTCCCTCCGTGGGGCAGGAGAGCCTGCCCTGCCCTTTGCAGCCACCCAGCTACCAGTGGGTAGTGCAGCGGCATCCAGCCTCCACATTTCACAATGTTTCTGTCAGCTTGTTTGGGGGGTCACCTTTCCCCAGCCACACTGCTCTGCAGGGGATGATCTTGCTCGGGGCCTCCTCCTGTTCACTCCCAGCTCCAGAGGGGAGCCCTGGGCTCCTGCCTCCAGTGCTGAGCACTGGGGTGCAGCAGTGAGGGCTGGAATTATCTCCATCGCTCTGGCAAGAGAATGGATTACAAAAGTGGGGGATTATGGAGGCTTCTGCTTCCAGCCCCAGACTCATAAGGACGACTGCAGCCAACGCCACCTCTCCTGCAGAGTTTCCTTTGCAAAAGGCAGGTGATAGCTCTGGTCGATGGCGTGCTGGTAAGGGAGCCAGAGATGGACACGGTGGGAGCTATACTCATACCTTAAACTCGGATTCCTGAGGGCAGCTTGGCAGCCTGCCTGTCGCTCCTGCCACCCCCTCTCCGCCCGGAGCAGCAGCTTCCTTCCCCGGCAGTGTTGTCCCTTCCACCCCTCCATGCCTCCCTTTCATCACCTTCGGCATTTCAGCTGCTGCCCAGAGCTAACAGTGGGGGTCTGTAGCGGGTGTAAGGCACACCAAATTGTCCTGCAGCCCAGGGCCCAGGCGTACATACGACTGGGAGGAGGGGGCATGCTCTGCTTCAGTGCCCAGACCCCTGCGAGCTGGCGCTTGGCCCATGTCTTGGCTGCGAGGACTGTCAGTAACCATGGCAATGAGAGTTTTCCAGCCGCCCTGGTGTCAAATTTATGGTGGAGGAGAGAAGCGGTCCCAAAATGCGATCACTGTGATGAGGGCTAATAGGAAAGGGGCAGTCTGCCTTTGGGGGAGAGCCCTGCTCTTCTCTCTGAAGGACTCCAGCATCCCCCCTTCCTCCGTTTCGGCTGGGTGCCGGAGGTCAGGAGGTCTCTCTGGCCTCCCCTAGGGTGGAAACACACCTGGGGGTGTACACACTGGGAAGGCTCTGCAAGTCCCCAGCTAAAGAGAGCTGGGGGGGTGACAGCAGCTGGCTCTGTTAATGATTACCTGCCCCATGCCTGCCTCCACAAGTCTGAACAAGGAGGACATGCCCTTGCCGCCTGCACAGCTATGTCCCCATGCTGTCCACGGATGGTGCCCCAAGGACCAGGCTTCAGCTGGAGATGGAAAATGTAGAGCTGACATGCCATGAATTATCTTGTGGCATTTTTAGCAATATAAAGCTGGAGTTAAGCAATTGCAGGGAAACACACCTGGGTTCGTAACGCTCCTTTTTTTCCCTCCTTCCCTTGGTGTGAGGCTCCTTCCTGCAAACACAACCTTCTGCTGCTTGTTTGGGCTGGGGAAGGAGCCATATCCCTCAGAAAGGGCCTGAAGGGACCAAGCGCTGCTGAGAGTGATGTGCACCACTGTATCTCTGCTCTCCCCTGCTGCCAGCACCTGTCTCCTGGTCCCCAGCCCGAGAAGGTAACAGGAGGGGAATGGGAACAGATGGAAATAGAGGAAAGATTGAAAATTTGCACAGGGCTTTGCCGTACCTTGGGCTTCTCTGCCCTGGGAACCCCAGCAGGGTCTCTGGCTCCTGGCCAGAGACGGATGAAGAAAAGCAGCAGCGCTTGCCCCAGCTCCAGCTGATCCTCGTTTGCTCATCACAGTCTCAGACTTGCAAAGCTGGTGCCACTGAACCTCAATCAAAAGCAGCGCATCCAGGTCCTTCCCCTTCATCTTGACCATGTTTATCTCAGCAGCTTTCTTCAGCTTTGGTTTAAAGGCCCAGTGATGGGGAGCTAGGGGGAGTATTGGCTTTGCTACCTGTCCAACTGTTCAGAACCCATTTTTGCACCCTGTGCCAAAAGGTACAGTCCAGCATGTTCCAGGCCCCTTGCCACCCAGAGCAGCACCCATTGCTGTGTGTGCAGTGGGCTGGGGAGATGACACGTTCTCACGGTTGCCAGCCGTCCTCAAAACTTCTGCAGATGTTCAGAAAACCGCTGGCAAGGTGTGAGTTAAATGCAGGAATCTCTCCAAAAGCTTTCCTGGCTGTGAAGCAGCTCATAAAAAATAGTTATCCCCCCAACCCCACCTGTGGCAGCCCAGATCTCAAAGCCTTCTTCCAGGATAAGGAGTGGAAAAATGTCTCCATTCCCCACCACAGCCCCATTCTTCTGGCATGACACTTGTCTTTCTGGCCTGGCCCACGCCTCTCCTCACGTTTTAAGAGAAGGTGGATGGGGGGAAGGGAACAGATGTGTCTGCAAGGTCCTTTCACCCCCAACCATCAGTCTGATCTCATATCACTGCTTGGTCCAAGGCGAAGGGCCGCAGCATGGCTGAGCTGGGGACAGGCAGATCACGAGGGACGGGGCTGGGAGACACTTGGGCCAG